ATATATATATATATATATATATATATATATATATATTAGCAGATTATCGCGCAAGCAATAACATTTTGATCATTTATAGCGCCTTATTTTATGCCTTAAAAAAGTAGGCCAAATTGAGGTGAAAGGAGCCAACTATTGGAGCGTGAAGAAGTCAGAATTTCTGAAATAACTTTATATATATATATATATTTTTAATTCAACTTTTTCATTTAAGTCGAAGTTTCTCCGCCAAGTTAGATAATGGAAACGCTGGGTTCTCCGTATTACCTTCAAAAGATATCGCCACACTTTCTGTAATATCTTGAGAAATTTGGTTTTTATTCGGCAAAAAAAGAACAATTTTTTTCATTTTTGTTAAATTGTCTTCTTTCATTGCGAAGAATATCAGGACATTTGTATAATAGTTAATATATTGGAGGAATCATTGTCATTATCTTAACGCATAGTTTTTTCAAAATAGAAATGCTTGTACTGACGCAAATTTACATCTGTTTCGCGGGAATTCTCTATCGGTGAAGTGAAATTGGATGTTAACCAGTGCAAAAATAGTTAGTTCCCACATGATTAAAATAAATATTCGTAATTAAATTAAATGAAATAATAGAGGAAAAAAATTTACAATTTTTTGCGTCTTAAATAGGTCAAATATTAGGAATATTACTTTCCACAATTATAAGATTTAAAAAATGGATTTAATTTCATTCAGATATAATGCGAGTATGGGGAGAGAAAAATTTTGAAATATGCTTAGAAATTAATTAATTGTTTTAATAAACAATTCTCAAATTAATAATACTATTTTTTCCACTGATCCTGCGGACGAACAGCTGTGGGAAAAATCAGACAATGAAGACATAATCAAATCTGACGTGGAAATGCCATCTGGCTGATTTAGATATAATGTACCGGTTTGTTTGAATTAATTACAAGAATGATTTATTTGCAATAGATATACGAAATGTAGGCCTTTTAGGTCATAGTTAAAAGCAATGTTGGATATTCCCTAATTCAAGACAAAAAACAGTAATTTTCTGATTTTCTAGCTATGTAGTTGGGGTGGTTAAATTTACAGTAAAAATATTTTATACTTTCAAAGCTTAAATTGCTGCTATGTTGTCAAGCTTGTCAATGTTTTATTGCATTACCAAAGTGCCATGTCATTAATTTCAGGTTTGACAATGCTAATAGGAAGATAATAATTATTAGGAATAAATTTTTGTCTCCTACCAATGCATCAAGCACATTCACATATTTAACATGCTATATTTAAGTTTAAATTTTACTTTATATATTGTTTCATTGCTAATATGTCCGCAATTAAGAGGCCTTTTGTTAAAATATCGATAGTGACCTCAAGTAATATTGTCATTTATTTTGAGGAATTTCATTAGCCCTAGTTGATCGAGAAATCAAACATTCTATTAAATGTGTGGGACACGTTATCGCTATGTGCGTCATCGTATGCCTGCATGTCTGCTCGCCAGGATTGGGAGGTGCGCCGTACAACTCTGTGTGCAGCGACCGTAAAAACAGTGACCAATCATCAACCTCTGTTTAACCTAATCCCCCATCCTGAGCATGAGTAGCTCCCTGCGTGTACACGTTATCCGCAATTAACCTACTGAATAGACGTGCTCCGTGCTACACGTCTGCTTCCTTTATAACGGCTATAGCTTAGCTGATAAACGCGCTCCGTGCTACACGTCTGTTTTCTTTATAGCTGAGCTATAGCTTAGCTGTTCTCTAGCTAGAGGTTGGAGAATCTGCCATAGAGATTTCTGATTCCTAGCTAGATGTTGGAGAATCTGCCATAGAAATTTCTGAGCCGGTAGCTAGATGTTTGAGAATCTGCCATGGAGATTTCTGAGTCGGTCTAGATGTAGGAGAATCTGCCAAAGAGATTTCTGAGTCAGGAGAATCTGCCATAGAGATTTCTGAGTCGGTCAGGCTTTAACTAGCGTAGCAATCCGCTACAAATGGAAGAAAGAAATAGAATTAAAATAAGAATTATGCGAGTTATACTCATTAGCTATTTTCGTTTTTATTTTTTTTAATAAAAAAATTAAGCTAAAAGTGACACATCGAAAATGCTATTTTAGACAGAATTTAGAATGATATTTTTATGAAAATCATACATACCTCCGCCTACACTACACGCTTTCGACTTCTAGTCCTTGTTAGGGTTAACGTTAGAATTCCATTGCCTTACTTAATTGCAATCGTTAATCACACACCGCCTAGTTTCTTGACAATTAAATCAATTTTCGGAATGCTGAATTAGAACACTGCTACTTCGGCTCCTTTCTCGACCGATTCGGCGCTTGCATGAAAAAAATTGGCATTAAAATCGTTCGAACAGTCATCTTAATTTCGACCCATATTAAATAACTGCTGAACATCACAAATAAATTTTACGGTCGGGAAGCCTGTCACAATTAATGTCATGTTTGACAACAAAAAAAAATATTCGTGGCGTTTGACAAAATCCACGATGTAAATAGTTGAAAAAAATAAGTTAAAGTTAATCGTAATCAATATATATATTCAATTTAATTAGAATAAAAGCGAAAGTATTTAACTTTGCTTCAAGTCTGTTCAACGAAACAAAAGGAATTGGTACTTCAATGACTATAGCTTCCAGAACTAGGCATTATTATTATTATTATTTAATTGCAGGGTTGAATGCCAAACCCCAGGAAAGTAAGTGCCAAAGACACGAGGCGAAATTTATTAAAAGTACTAGAGCTCAAATTGTCTTTGTAAAATAAAAACAAAATTCGAATTTTGTTGCATCGATTAAATCGGATGCCTTCGCGGTGAATGCTTCGCGAAAATTTCATTGTCATACAGCAAAATAGTTTTAAAGAGCACCAAGGAGAAATATAGTCACGCAAACAGCCCTACGCTACGTCTAGTACTATTTCAAACAAAATTAATAATTACTAGGTCATTCATATAACTTAAACAATTCATTTTAGTTGGTGACTTTTTGTTCTGTAATAATCATTCCAAAAAAACGAGGCTCTGGAAGATGCTAATGGCAGTTATTTCGAGTAATAGGCATTGACAATGATGTTATTAATTTGCCTGATAAATTTCTTCCAAATGAAGTAAAGTTGTTCAGTTTTGTCTTCATTGTGATATTCACGATTTTATTCCGAACACCGTGTACGTTACAACGATAAAGGTAGTTCAGCTTCTCGGTTAACACGAAAGCGAAATCGGGACAAAGAGACAATGATCTCAGAAAGTCAAGAAAAACACCGTTTGTGACAATAATTGAGTTTATAATTTGCAATGCCGATAATATGCATTACGAGGACCTAAATGTTTGCAAATTTCAACTGTGTCTGATTCTAGAATTAATTTTAACGAAGGGGTGTGAGATAGACTTACCTACACGTGGAACATCATGGGCAACGTATATTCATTCGGCAATAAAGTCAACAAACCGGCGGTAGACTTTAAACTACCACAACTCCACTTATGTCATATTCGATCTCTTCCCCAGTAATCATCTTTCCCTTTTCCCTACATTTCTGTTTGTCTGTCTTTTCCACATCTGTGAATTACGCTTCTCTTCCCCCTTCCTCGACTTTTTGTGACTTTAATGTTCCTCCCTCATCTGTGAAACTCGAAGTCAACTACAGGGATAATGATGACTATCATCAAGCCAACCATTTGAAATAACTATATTATTATTATATCAAATGGCAGGCGTTTTGATTGTTATCATTAGCCCTTTTAGGTGACTTCAGTCTTCACAGAGGGGAAGGAACATCAAAGTGTAAAAAATTCAAGAGGGGGGGGGGACAGAAGAGTGTATCAAAGATGAAGGTAGATAAGGTGGAAAAAATGTGGGATGAGTACTGTGAAAGTAGTCAGTGGGGTCATGGTAGTTTGAAGTCAATTGCCAGGTAATAGACCTTTTTGCCGCATGAGTATACGTTGCCCAGGGTGCACCACATGGAGGTAAGTCTATCACACACCGAAATAAATAAATAAATACATACCAGAGTTGCTTTACCTAAATATGTCGGAAATCATGGCAGTGTTCTAAATGATATTTTTGGAGAATATTAAATGTCATACAAGATGTTAAACACCTTTTTACCATCTAACTTTTAAACATTCTAGAAACTTTTTTACCCATTTTAAAATTACAACATTTTTGAAATGGAGTTTCTGTAATATTTTTTATTTTTTATTTCAAATGGCAGGCTTTATGATATTTATCATTAGCCCTTAATCTTTGACTTCAGCTTCCCCCATGGGTAATGATATTTATCATTAGCCCTTAAACTTTGATTTCAGCTTCCCCCAGGGGTCTGCCTCATCATTTATTTCAAATGGCAGGCTTTATGATATCTATCATATTAGCCCTTAATCAAGGGATCATTAGCCCTTAATCCTTGACTTCAGCTTCCCCCAAGAGCCCTTAATCTTTGACTTCAGCTTCCCCCAAGAAGGATAAAAAAATTTATTTCAAATGGCAGGCTTTATGATATTTACTAGCCCTTAAACTTTGACTTCAGCTTCCCTCAAGGGTGGGTACATTTATAGACTTAATCTTTGACTTCAGCTTCCCCAAGAGGGGGGGGGGGTACATTTATAGCGGTTATTAACACAGCCCATGGGTGGGGGGTACATATATAGCAGTTAATTAATAGCAGACATTAGCAGTCTTCTTGCTTCCCAGTATCTTTGGCTTTCCTGTAGCTGTCTTCTTGCTTCCCAGTATCTCTGGCTTTCCGTAGCTGTCTTCTTGCTTCCCAGTATCTTTGGCTTTCCGTATCATTGGCGGTACATTTATAGCAGTTAATTAATAGCAGTTCATTAGCCCGGACATTTATAGCAGTTAATTAATAGCAGACATATATAGCAGTTAATTAATAGCAATTCATTAGCTGTCTTTTTGCTTCCCAGTATCTCTGTGTTTCCGTCGTTGTCTTTAGTTGCTTCCCAGTATCTCTGGCTTTCCGTCCTTGTCTTTAGAGTGGGACACCGAATCAGGTGGGTCTTCTCCATTTCCTCTTGATGAACACCGAATCAGGTGGGTCTTCTCCATTTTCTCCTGTAGAGAATCAGATGGGTCTTCTCCATTTCCTCCTGTAGGTTTCACATCAGGTGGGTCTTCTCCATTTCCTCCTGTAGGTTACAGATCAGATGGGTCTTCTCCATTTCCTCATGTAGGTTACATATGGTGGGTCTTCTCCGTTTCCTCCTGTAGGTCACATAGACAGGTGGGACTTCTCCATTTCCTCCTGTAGGTTACATAGAGTATGTGGGTTGAGTGTATACTCTCAATCTGTGAAGGTGTTTTGATTGTATACTCCTAATCTGTGAAGGTGCTTCGCCAGATTTCCTCCTGTAGGTTACATAGAGGGCATGTGGGTTGATCTACTCCCAATCTGTGAAGGTGTTTTGCCAACCAATCGTGTTGGTACGTAGTCTAAACTCAGCAATGGCTTCGATTCTTGGCTAGTCGGGTATGTCGGAGAGTGCCACTGTCCACTGTTTCTCTAGTACGTAGTCTAAACTCAGCAACGGCTTCGATTCTTGGCCAAGTAGTCTAAACTCAGCAACGGCTTCGATTCTTGGTAACCGTGTCACGTACGTAGTCTAAACTCAGCAACGGCTTCGATTCTTGGCCAAGTAGTCTAAACTCAGCAACGGCTTCGATTCTTGGGAACCGTGTCAGGTACGTAGTCTAAACTCAGCAATGGCTTCGATTCTTGGCTAGTCGGGTCGAAGAGTGCCACTGTCCACTGTTTCTCCTTTCTTCGAGGTAAGACTCAGCAACGGCTTCGATTCTTGGAACCGTGTCACGGTACGTAGTCTAAACTCAGCAACGGCTTCGATTCTTGGCCAAAGTCTAAGACTCAGCAACGGCTTCGATTCTTGGCCAGTCGTATGTCGGAGATTGCCACTGTCCACTGTTTCTCCTTTGTCGAGCTTTGAGCTGCACACTGTCCACGTCCACGTCTCCTTTGTTCGAGCTTTAAGTTCGTTGCACCTTGACTGTATACTCCCAATCTTTGAAGGTGTTTTGCCAGGCAATCCGTCGGTACGTAGTCTAAACTCAGCAATGGCTTCGATTCTTGGCTAGTCGGGTATGTCGGAGAGTGCCACTGTCCACTGTTTCTCTGTGTTCGAGCTTTGAGTTCGTTGCACCTTGAGGTCTTGAATTCTCTTGTTCGTCTCTCCTATAATCTCCTGTGTTCGAGCTTTAATTTCGTTGCACCTTGAGGTATGTTTTCTCCTTTGTTCGAGCTTTAAATTCGTTGCACCTTGAGTTCTGGAATTCTCTCAGCTTTGAGTTCGTTGAACCTTGAGGTCTGGAATTCTCTCTATGTGGAAAGACATCGGCCGGTCCATGCATTGCAAAATTGTTGACCCCTTCTTAGCAAGTGTGTCAGCAGCTCATTGCCTTTAATGCCACAGTGACCAGGAATCCATTGTAGGACCACTGTTGTGTTTTTCTCTCTCAGCAGCTCATAGAGTTTTCTACATTCCTTTATCTCAGCTGTTTTGGGTGTCTCTCTGTTTCCAATGGAGTTTATTGCTGACTGTGAGTCCGAAAGTATCACCGCTTTGGTGAATTTCGTATCGAGGCAACATAATTGGCATAGTGCTATCCTAATGGCCTCTAGTTTCTGTAATATAAATTGGGATATAATTCAAGTTAATAAAATTGCATTAAAAACATATTACTTCGTTTTCATGAGTCTTTTACCTCAAGGACATTGAGAAATTTTGAGTTTAATGGGTAGCGAATTGTAGAATTAGATATATTTATAAGCTTGTATAACGAAATCAATAATTAATTTTTTAAGATTTAAGCATAAATTCCTCATTATATATATAAATTATGTTCAATAACGTCCAATATTTTGATAAATTGTTAAAAATATCAATATTAGCCACAAATTTTCGCTTAAGTAGTCACAATTTGGTCTGAGACAATTGACCATATGCCCCACCAAATGTGCTTTAAATAATTGTTGAAGCAGAAATCAAATCAAATACGCTTTCATTTTGGTATCGCTTAACATGAAGGCCTACCGTTATTCAGGTGTTGAGCGCCGAAGAATCACGACCTTGAAAGTTGGAAATATTAAATATTGGTGCCACTTTAGTCCCAGTAATCTCGTTACCAATTTCATAAAAACATGATAACCTAGTCATCATTTTAGGAACAATGATGCTTCCATAGGTTCAAGAAACAATTTTAAGAGGTAATCGCAGTAATTTTGATCCATAGCACAGTTTGCGTTTAAACGTATAGTGATTTCTTTTTTTGTTCTTATAAAATTTACGATCAATAACTTGCAAACAAAAACCTATCAACTAAGTGAAAAAAACTAAGTATTAGCTAACAATCGAGTTACCAATAGCATTTTATGCTTTATTAATAATTAACTGAAAACTGTTAGAATTTTGGCCCTTCCAATCCATGATGAGTACATTGATATATCTTTTTGCAAACCGGCAAAGTCTCACCTAAGTTTAGAGCAGTATATTATACTAAACGGTTGATTTTACAAAGCTATTTATGGTATGAATTTGGTTTTCTTTGGAGGTAAGGGTGGGGGAAGGGGTGGCGGGTGGAAGGAGGGGGGTGGGGGGTGGGGTTAGTAGTATTTTTGCTAAATGTCAGGTGAGAGCGTACAATGCCTGGAGTGCATAATGATACCATGGCTAACGAAAGGCATTCCACATGCAGTGGAATATTCTGAAAAGTCCACAGGGGGGCGAATGCGGTGTTCGCCAAGAGGTCAGCAATCAATATTCCTACCACGCAGCAATGGTTGCATTCAAATACTAAGCATTCTTTGAAGGCAACTCTGTGTTCCCTCTTCTTTGGGTATTGTCTATCTAATTTTTGGATGCTCATTAACGCTGAAATTAGGATTTTCCTCAGCTAATTGGACTTCTAAGAGTATTACAAGGCTCTATTTTGGGTTCGCCTTTTGTTAGATCGGCTGCAGGTTAATGGGGGTCATTAAAATGTACAAGTAAAAGGAAAGAAAACTATGGAAAGATGAAACGATATAAGCGTCCACAAGGAGTATGCTATAGCCTACTTAAAAATTGTCACTAAATGATTTAATTAAATTAAACGTCAATTGAATAGACCATATGACAGGAATTCGGGCCATGAACCTACCTTTAGTCATTTGAGGTGTGCGATAGACTTACCTCTACGTGGTGCACCATGGGCAACGTATGCTCATACGGTAAAAAGTCTAACAAACCGGCAGTTGACTTCTGACTTCAAAATAAAATCACCCCATTGTATGTCATATTCCATAACTTTCACAGTACTCAATTCACATTTTTTCTACCTTTGTGTCTGTCTCTTTTACATCTTTGAAATACTCTTCTGTTACCCCCCCCCCTCTCCACCTTTTGTCACTTTGATGTTCCTTCCCCTCTGTGAAGCCTGAAGTCAACTAAAGGGCTTATGATAACTATCAAAACGTCCGCATTTGATATAAATAAAATCCTACGTCACTTTCTATAAGCTAGCATTCTTCCATAAAAATACGAATTTCTCTGATTGGCACTAATTAAGTTCATAAGACCGAATCTTTAGCTGCAAACAGCTATTGATCATGGGTTAATAGCTTTAAATTATACCGATGTTTGTTACGTTTTTTGCAACAAATCGAATTCTCTTCACCACAGACTAAAGAATATGCCAAGCCAAATGTGATCACAAAATGAAGCACATTTCAAAAGAATCTTGAGTTGCCTTGGAAATAAATTGATTTAATTTTCTTTATATTCATGCACTATCCATGCAAACCGTGTCGTTTGTGCAACTTTCGTTTTCCTGGACTAACAATGGGTGTGTTTCTGTGTGTGCAGATTAGAGGGATGGACATTATAGTGGTCTTATTCCCAATAGGCACTTTTCCCCATCAGAATAGTACCTGACCTTTCTTAGAATTATGCTGACAACGTTATGGGCCCAAAACCGCAGATAACGCCCACGCGCAGTGTGGATCAGATCGGGCTACATAGACGACTGTGGGCAAACAACAAACATTTATGTGTTTTTATAAATGCAAATTGAAATTTTTTGGGGGAAATTGTCCTCGTTAATGAAATTAATAAAATCAACCTTCAAAGGAAACTTTTCAAGACATGAATTTTCGCCAAAAAGGATTTCCCTTTTTTATCGAAATATGAAAATTACCCTTGATTGGCCATTTGGTACATTATAATGATCGAGCTTAAGTATGTAATTAGGTTTAAGTTAGAAAAGCGAATAGCGTTTGCAGAAAGCTCTAATTTGTCTAAGTTGGCTAAAATTAGAATTCCTACGGTAGTGTCATCTTACTGGCCATGTTTTTTGAAAAAAGTGAACATAATGAAAAATAATTGCGCAATTTACTCAAGAAATGAACCTTTATCACAGATCATATTATGCAACTGTGACATTTCTGCGTCAAAGTTAAAAACGCCTTTCAAAGCAATGTTGACAGCAAACTTCTATCATCACGAACTTCAGGGTATTTACTCCAGATTCATTAATTCTCGCATTCCTTGGCAATTATAGAAAACAAAAAGTTAAAACAACTATGTGAATTCATAAATAAATTAGCCTTTAAAATAAATTTTAATAAATTTTCACTGACTCAAAATTACATCGAAAATCGATCATAATTCCATGCAATATCCTGGGATTTAGTATTGAAATTTGTGTTATGAGTTGTAATTAAAAGGTATGAAAAATAAAATGAAAAATAGAACCCACTTCAGATCTTAGCATTTAATTTTGAAAATAATGAAATTATTAAAGTATTTCTAATCTAAAAAATGAATATACAATGACACTTATTGTTTTGACATTTTCTTAACTCAAAAATTGGAGAGTCATTCCAAGTAAACTGAATTTTAATGAATATAATTTTTTTTAACCAACTAAGGTAACCCCCCCCCTTTACTCCTCTAATTTTTTTTGCATTAACGTCATGACAACATTAGTTAATGAAGACCTCATTCAACCGATATGCTAAAATTGAAATATTTCACTTCTCATTGAGTCAAATTCATCTTAAAAGGCTGGAAATGAGAGAGAGGTGATTTTAAGGTATAATCTCTGCTTTTGCGTAAAACTGCATGCGATAGAAGCATAAATTGCATAAGGCCAAATATGGTGAGATAGATATAGAGTGGTGATCAGACAGAAGGACTCAAGAAAATTGGGTTTTGGCTGAGAATAGGGGGATTTGATTATGATATAGTATCTAATGCGCCTGAGAGATCTATTGAACGTGTTCAGGACAGAGGTATTGACCGTCGACAATGCAGAACTGTTTTCCATTGAGGGGAGTCTGACATTGGCTACACTTGAAGCAACCCTTGTGGTAGGCTTTATCGTCGTACAGGACATATTGCTCCGATGGATCAATTATCACCCCGCAGCTCTAAAATTTGACAAATTGACAAAATTGAGTTATTTATTATTATTTGCAAATAACATGAGTTAAAAGAATATGAACCTTTTTTTGCTTGACTATAAAATAGATACCATTATGGTCTATGAGATGTTTCCTTAAAGGGATATTCCAAGGGGCTTAAATTAAAAAATAAGAATAATTTCATAATAAAGATTCGGTTCGATAACGTATTGTAATGAATATGACCTTCCAATCAAGGAGCCTGGAGTTCATTTGTATTTCTTTCAACATTTAATCCACATTTCAGTTCAAATTCTTCTGATCACAGGGAATATGCACTACAAAGCTACGGTTGATAGATGACGACTAAATAGTTTCTCTTGTAATTGCTGGTGTGGACTACCTTCATTTTCATTTGCATTTAAAGAGTAATAAAAGATTTTATGCCCGACAAAAGATGAAGTAGTTTGGGCAACTGTGGACTAAAATATCACGATTCTGAACAATAACGTGCCGCATTTTGGTCAAAAGTGAATGGTTTGAACACTTCCGACAAAAAATCGGTATATGAAATATAATGACTCCTCTTTATCAAAACAATTACTGACTCTTTCAAGGAAGTAATTGGCTAAGCACCCATTCTAATAATACAAGGTACCTCCGGGTATCCTATTTTTTAAACGGGAAAAAGGGAAAATTCCCCCCCCCTTCCAAAAACTTGACATTTTAAAGTATATAATTGCATGAAAATCTCGAAAGGAATGTTAAAATGCACGAGCGTTAATCACATGTTCACCGCCAATTGATGCCCATCAGCCGTCCTAATGGAATGCTCGAACGTAGTTAGACTTGACGTGGCGTAATTCCATCCCGGGATGAACGATAGAAATTCCTCCACGTGGTGCACCCTGAGCAACGTATACTCATGCGTCAAGAAAGGTAATTAACCGGAAATTGACTTCTGACCTCAAACTACCATGACCCCGCTGTATGTCATATTCGACCACTTCCACCATACTCACCTTACCTTTCCTCTGACTTTGTGTCTGTCTGTCACTTTTACATCTTTGAAACACTCTTCTGTTCCCCCCCCCCCCCCAACGAATGTTTTGCCACTCTGCTTGCTTTCCCCTCCATGAAGCCTGAAGTCAACTAAAGGGCTAATGATAACTATCAAAACGTCTGCCATTTGATATAAATAAATTTTCCTTCGGTTGCAATAGATATTCACCCACAGTTCGACTCTCAATATATTTTTTATGAAAGAAAAATTATTATTACTGTTCCATATTTCCGTCTGTTTATGAATTCAATTGATTATTAGTATAGACTACGTTGGAAATATATTAATATGAAGCAGAAATATTGACTTACAACTTTAATAAATTTATTTACAAATTATAACAACAACAACAAGAGGCGGAAAAAAATCATTCTAAATTTGGAAGTTAAATGAAAAAGAGCAAATTCCACTGTCAAGGTGCTTAATAATTTGCCTTTGTAAATGCCAATTAATCAAAATCACCACTTACAAATTTAAGGAAGCACGCTTGAATTTACCAATGAAATTATCTGACAGATTTCAGCGCTCTATCTTCTCTGCCTGATTGATACAAACTGCTGAATATAAAATATTAATTATTAGAAATAGCGTTATTTGTGAGCATAAAGGGGTAGATTTTATTTCTGGGAAAGTTTTGCGCCTAACCTTAAGAATCCACCAAAATGTATTTGGCCTAGCATAGATCCTCATCATTCGTAGTTTTTCTCCCAATTCCAGGGGATAAATTTATTTCAGACATGGGGAGGGGGGTTAATTAAAATAGGCAATTCGATTTCATTTTAAAGGCTACGAAATGCGTGTACGATGTATGACAAAAGTTTTTAGTGAAATCTTGTGAAAGTGTATCATGCCCCAACTGCAAAGACTGGCTCATTCCAGTCGCTCGCCTTACAAAGAAAAAGAAGAAGAAGAAGACTTCACCCTCAACGCCTGAATAATTCTGAGTGAATGGGTTTTTCCCACCTTCAATATTAAAATTTTATTCGTCGATTGGTGAAATGCGAGATTTAGGAGATGGGGGAAAGAAAACACGTTCTGTTGAACTTTTAAACTACATTTTATTTTGTAAATAACACTGATGGATGTAGAAGCCCAGGTCTGAGCGTTCAAGCCCAAAAAAAATTGATTTCAGATCAAACGGGGAGTTTCGGGACGTTTCTAATTCCTGAGGCAATTCTATGTCGAAACTGATGAGCCTTCATTTAAATAGTGTCTCTGATAATATACTTCATAGCTTTGAACCCATCATAAACAAGCATAATTTGTAATTATTATTAGCGAGGATTTTTTAAATAAAATTTTCAGTTGCTTACAGAACAGCGTGGTTGAAATTTCTCTTTCCAGCAATTGACGCAGTAGGGAACTTCGTCTTTGCAGTGGAAGGACTGATTAGCCAATTGGCGTTTGCATCCAGCACATACGAAGCATTCCGGATGCCATCGTTTCTCCATGGCATTCAGGATGGAACCCGAGGTGAAGGGCTTAGCACACTTTGAACAAATTCCACTCGACATCTCTCTACACCCTCCCACGAAATCAAAATTAAAGCATTGTATAGCAAATATTACAAAAATTGCAATAAACAGCTCTACTTACTGAAAAAATGTGCATATTTAATTGAATAAATTGATATATATATATATATCAAATAAAAATACGAAAATAAAAACCAAATTTAAATCATTCAATTATTTTGATAGGTTTCAGAATAAAGGTAGCAAAAAATACAATACTTTCTGCTTTTATATAAAACCGTTCTTATTGAAATTTTCTCCGACTACCTGAATCTATATTTCTTAGTAAACTCTTTATTCCGTTATAAATATATATATATATATATATATATATATATATATCAATAAATTTAATAAGTCTCTATCAGTGCAAACGAATAAACTATTTAGTGGATGTAAAATTGCCGCAATTTTGCATTTATTCATTACATCAATTTTCCTACAGGATCGAAATCGGAAAATTCAATTAATTATGTAGTCTTAGATGCGGACAAAAATAGTTGGAATTTACAACTCTGTTAATTTTATTTATTGGAAAAATGTAGTTCACTCCAGCCACCTTTATACAATGCTGGTAGAATTATAAATCGACTGGGGGGGGGGGGNNGGTGGTGGAAGGATGGGGGGAGTGGGGATTGCGAGGGGTTAGTCCCCAAAAATTTACTACATGAAAATTCCACGATGCTTACTGTATTCACACAAAAACAGCATAAAATTCAAAACGAAAAACAATAAAAATAAAACATAGGGTTCCTGCATTTGTTCAAGTGTAACTGGTTAAAGGTCCCATGAATGGAAAAGAAAATCCAAGGGAAAATAAGAAAAAAATATAATTTTCTTCAAATTGCATTTGAATGCTACATCATATGATAATAATTATACTTTTGAGGTGCTTGAGAGCCTGTAAATGAAGCAAAATGAATTTATGAGAGAAACGAATTTTGTCAAAGTTCAGAAATAAGGCGTAGCATAGAGGAATTTACCAAAGGTAAAGTATTTATGGATTTAAATACGTTTAGGAACTCTGAACTTTTAAAAGGCACTTGACCTTGGAATTATTAGCTTTAGCATTCGCCACTTAGCAAATACGCTTAGGACGAATGAAATGAAAATGAAAATAAAAACGTTCATAACAACTGCCGATTTGTTGTGATAAAATTTTATGAATGCGATAATTTACGAACTCAAATTATTGCTCAATATTTTTTCCAAACATCGAAAGAGATAAAATTACAATTTATATAATAAGCGAAGGAAACCTTAGCGTTGTATATGCGCTGAATGAATTTTTGGAGGAACCGTTTTATAATTCATTAAGGACAAATTAATTTTAACTACAGAATTACCTTTTGTTGGGAAAATTAAAGCTAGCCTTTGTCATAGTTTAAAAACTAGAAACATTTATATTAACTGTTGGTTTAAACAAAGTGAATCAAGACCATTTGTTGTAAATAATATCCCCTCACCAATAGTAAATCCAAGGTAGGCAACGTGAAGACAGTTTTCCTCTCCAAAATGCCTAAATTATCATGCCTTTAAATCGTGCGGTCAGGTCTAAGTGCGCCTTGATCGTCTTTGAGGAATTCACCAATCAAAGTGCAGCAACACTGGCCAATCACACGGTGGCCCTGCAGTGTGCGAATTGGAGGCGCCATTGTGAACGTCATTCGGTTTGGCTATAATCGATAGCCCCGGCGCTATTGGTGCTAATAAAGACGCTGATACTGAAGATGATTACCAACACAAACGTTTGCACAATATGCAAACGGACTGCTGTTCTAGTAGTGAAATAACAAATGCATGCGCAGAGGCGTTTAAGCGCTATATTTGAAAAAATATAATTCGCTAAAAGATATCCCCCAAAAATTTCCATTCCAGATGACAACACGGGGGTGAAAAGTTAGCATATACTGATCATTTGTTTTTCCTTTATTACTAATTTTAGTAAAATGTAAAATGCCAGAACAAACCACTGCTATGTTTCCTTAAAAGTGATGGGGTGAGGGCATTCTTGAATTATCAGAGAGAAATTTAAGAATATTGCATTCATTCCGCAAGGCTTTGAATTCTAATTATTTTCATTAACGAACTGGTTCACTCTGTGCCGCAATAAGATTAGTCTCTATTGCATCGACAGCGTAATTTGGACCTTCGTTAAGAGCTAACTTAGCTTCACTTAGAAAAATACCATTTATTGGGTGATATTTTGGGGAATGGGGATAGATGTTTTTACGTAATAACTTCGCCTACTTACATTCATTGCAGTTGAAAATGTCGAGGTAAAACTACATGTTAGTTATTTGATAAATGCATTAGTGTTGCTCAATTTCTTAGGATCAAGAAGAACTTGTATCGTTAAGGGCATTTGCTAGAATGTTTAAACTGGTTGTTTCAATAAGATAAGAGTGAGCGTGAAAGTATGACTATTTGTTCTGAATTCTGTTGAGTAAGATTATACGCGTGGGTATTTAAACAAATAACTCGATAACTAAAATCGATAATTTATCATTAATATTATTATAGAAACGGTGAACTTTGAAGTCGGGCAGATAAATTTATCAATCGCGTTCGAAATATTTGGTTAAATCATTAGATTTTTACGGTTTAGAGGAAATCAACTTCGTTATTTTGAATGGTTTTCAACATTTTTGTTATTATATGAGAGTTATTTAAATTAATTCCCTTCCATTTCATATCAAAAGATCTTACTTATAAATTTTCCCTTGCAGATCAAAATTTTTGCATAGTTCAACCATGAAAAGTTCTTCAAGAAAGTTCAAAACATTTTTTTACCCGTCCATAAATGCAAAATGATTACGTGTCAATGAATCTAGAGCTCTCTGCGTCGAACATTTTCAACTTCAAGATAATTCGGCCAATCAGACCTATAAACTTCTTCCTGCATTCTATTTTATTAGGAAATTTTTAATTAGTCGATGGGGTATGCGATAGACTAACCTTCCACGTGGTGCACCCTGGACAACGCATGTTCATACGGTAAAAATGTCCATTAATCGGCAGATGACTTCTCACTTAAAACTACCATGACCCCACTGTATGTCATATTCGACCACTACCACAGTACTCAACTCACCTTATTCTACCTTTTTGTCTGTCTGATTTGCATCTTTGAAACTCTCTTCTGTTCCCCCCCCCCCCCATCTCGACTTTTTCCCACTATGATGTTCCTTCCCCTCTGTGAAGCCTGAAGTCAACTAAAGGGCTAAAGATAACTATCATAACTCCTGGCATTTGATATAAATATATTTCAAGTGATATTGCATCTATTCTTGCTATCATAGTACAACTCTGAGTGATAATTGCCTTCGCCCCGGTGCTGCCCAATAATGTGATGAAGGGAGTTCATTCTAAGATTCTTCAACTAAATACTGACTCATTTGATATTTAACCAACTACTTACTATCAAGGTATTCACCTAAGTGTGGCAGTGAAAATTGAGAAATGCTCATTCGCAGTTGAGGAGGGCAATATCCTCCCATTAGAAAGGGTTTAAATAGAATGGAAGCGTTAAAAATACGCTCTTATGAGAAATTATCCTCATTTTGATCTGAATAAACTCATATTTTTTGGCTCTAAGATATACATGGGTTGGAATAAAATTATGGGAAAAATGTTATGATATTATTAACAATAAAAGGGAGAAACTTCATTGTTTCGTCGTTCATGAAAGTTAAAATATTGAAAATAAAGCTTCAGTTTGAAAAAAATTAAACGTTTGTTTTAATAAGTAAGTTAATTCAATTAGGTATTCGAGAAAAATCACCGGTCGTACAATTTGAGCCCCTTAGATAAAAGACGCAATTGCCATCATCATATTTGAAATGGAAAGTCAATGTAAATAGCCCAAGTTAAAAATATGACGCGCGGAATTACAACGTTAAGTTGTTTTAAATCAATGACAAATTTCAACTAACATTTGAACACGTGACGTTAAACTTGTTTTTTATGGTGTTTGTGTCTTTAGAACAGATAGTTCGTTGACAGTACAAAAGCATTAATTCGTTTCTGCGAAATTCGCACTTTCAGCTTCCATAGATGTTTGTTTCACTTCCGTCAAGTGAGACTTTGCACTCTTACAGACGGACGATTGACTTGACCTGCCTAAACAGATTTTTTAATTAGTTATCCTCCTGTTATGCCACACTTACGATTTTGTTTGATCTCCCTTGTCACTCCAGTCATTCTTATTAATAAAAACGCATGACGAATGCCACTCAATTTGCTTAAAATATTATCAAAAAGCCAAAAAATCTCACATCGAAAGCTGTTTGAATTATTTTTTAAAAGGCTGAACGAAGAATTTCCCTATCCATTGTCTTCAGTTTGGAAAATAGAGTTGGAGATATTTGCTTATTTACATCAAATGGTAGGTGTTTTGATATTTATTATTATTAGCCCTTTAGTTGACTTCAGGCTTCACAGAGGGGAAGGAACATCAAAGTGACAAAAGTCGAGATAGGGGGGGACAGAAGAGTGTTTCAAAGATGCAAAAGAGACAGACAGACACAAAGGTAGAAAAAAGGTGAGGTGAGCACTGTGGTGGTAGTTGAATATGACATACAGTGGGGTAATGATAGTTGGAAGTCAGAAATCAACTGTCGGTTAATAGACTTTTTTGCCGTATGAGTATAAGTTGTCCAAGGTGCTCCACGTGGAGGTAATTCTATCGCACATCCTGATATGGAGTTATAAATCGGATCAAATTCTTATAATCTAATCGTATATTTACTCCTACCTATAAGCACAAATTTTTTATTTACTATACACTCCTATTTCTTAAAGCTTGACTTATTATAGATTTGAACTAAGTCGATATACGTGTTCGAAATCACATCAACTGAAATTCTTATCTTTTTAATCCTCCTAATGCTGAAAGGTAGTTCGATAATGCGGTCAATGAAAAGATGCCATTTAGAGTGGGTTCATGTTATTGACATTTGAAATATCTCAAATGTGACGAATAAAACGCCTTAGTTTGT